AATAATAATTAGTAAATACAATAACCAAAAAACTAATGTAATAGATTGGAAAAAATAATTGCAAAGCTTTTAACTGACTGATTGAGTTATTTTTTAGTTAAATAGAATAATAATAGTAATAATTGTCTAGATATTATAATGTGGATGTATGTAGAAGTATGAATCCCTTTAGATATATCAGAATTCTATATTTTTAAGCAATCCTAAATTTTAAACTAAATATTTAATTTTCTTTTTATATCAAGGAGTTTCTTTTTCAAGCTTTCACTAGATTAGGGGATGCCGAGAACATTTAAAATTGAAACAAAGAAATGTAAATAGGAATTTTATTTTTTCTAAAAAATTAGTATCTGATTATATTGATATTATTGCTGATCAGTATGACATCTTTTCATTGTTGGAAGTGGAGTTAATGGAATAGTTCGATGATTAAACTAGTCATATGAAAATTCTATTGTTTAAACGACTTCAGAATAATCACCGGTGTATAAATGGGTGAATTGAACAGGATCAACAATAAATACTAATGAAGGAGAGGTCCATAATGATTGGTCAGAGTATATTTTTCTGGTCAATACTTAACGCCTTGGATCATCAAATATTATCTAATTTACTGCTAATCTATGAAACTTAAGGTATTGATATTGTATATGTAGTTACAAATGGCTATTTTTTTCTTCAATCCCCTAGGTAAATAATTTTCCATACTTTCTTTATTATGTTACAAACACTTATGGTTCAATTTCACATGTATTCTAGATGTACTAAAAAGTAATATAAAGAAAATTATTAAAATTGTCAAATAACTTCCTGAGCATAACTTTAATTATCAATTTTTTCAAATTATTAGTAAAGCTAACAAGCATAGATAACAGATTCATATAAAGTGGATTAAACTCTCTTCAACTGGTATTTATGAATTATTTGGTTAGAATACTTGTTAGTCAGAATCAAAAATTAATATTCAAAAAATTTCGTTGTTTAAATAATTTCTATATAGAATTGTAATAATATAATTAATTTTTCAAGTTTTAATACTAAAATTTCTTAGTTTATTATCTCCATTTGGTTAAGTTTTAATTTATCGTACTTTAAGTTTAAATAAATTATAAGTGCCAGTATATAATAAATCCAAAAATCTAAATAATATTAGTATTCGTTTATCTTCATTTTTGGTGCATAATAAGAGAGTGATGGATGAGTAAATGATTATTTGAGTTTTGATCATTAAAATTTATTGGGGAACTGAATGTAATTTATCTCTAATTTTAGAATATGATTTTATCTGAAAATTTCTTCGATCTAAATTCAACTTAATAAATAGTTTAAGTTAATTTTACATTTGATATCTCTCCCTCATAACTTAACTTTATGAAGTAGGTAGCCGATATTTGATATGATTAAAGCATCATATAATATTTAATTTGTTTAAAAAACAAAATAATCAAAAAATTGTGCAAATTTTGGAATTTTATGTAGTCCTTTATTTATAAATTTCCTTGAATTTTCTGATTTGTATTTGTTTCGATTAGCCGTCCCATGTAATCAAAAAGTCTCCATTTTCACTTATTGTACCAAATATAGTACCGAGCCAGTTATTTGAATTCAATTACCTAAACTAATTTGCCATCAGGAATTGAAGAAGTAGTATTTAATCTGATTAAATTCAAATTATAACTATTTTTTGAGAGCAAGATGTGCTTTGAGGGTATAAAGCTGCATGGAAATAAATGTGTGCAGAATTATGTACAACCTGAAATTGCAAGTTCCTTACTTTTCTGATAATTGCCTGTTTACTGTTCATATGTATAAAGTTCTATTTTATCTGACTACCATGGTTAAAAAGCAAAGGTCTCATTAGATATGAAAGACAATCTGACTCCATGACATTTTATTTTTTATACGACATTCCAACTCTGATCATCTAAACATTTTATTACTAGTATTTGATTATCATCTCCACAAGAAATTAAAGAATTTCCTTCTTGATTTAAAGATAATCCAGAGACAATGTTTGAGTGCTCTCTTATTGTTTATTAACAAATCCATTAATCATCTTTTTAGCACCAAAACTTTATATTAAAGTCTTTTGAACCGCTAATTATAACCAAAGGTTTAATATTACGAAGTGCTAAGCACTAAATATTTGAGGAATGCTCCAACAATTTCAAAAGAAATTTAGGATTTGATGATAGATTTGAAGACCATATTTTAAGACTAGACGATCCAGAGATAATTAAAGACATTTACTTAAAGAAATTGAGAGTAGTTATCCAGGATTTATGTTTTTAAATAGTTTGAATCTTTTTTACTGCTCCCTCTTTGAGCTACATAATATTAATATTGGATTCAGCTCCAGAGAGTAACAATTTATCCTCTTAGTTGATGGCAATTGCCCAACACGTTTTTTGTTGTATATTAATATGGGGAAGCAATTCATAATAGAATGACACTTCTTTGGATTACAACTATCCACCTTTATGCTCAAACATGACAAAACAATCTATAATTTATTTAAAATATTATTTTAACTTCTAGGGAAAAATTATTATAAGTAATAAGATTTTTTTGAAAATTTTTTCCTTCTACTTAACACAATTAAGGTCAAAGATTGATGTTTATATTATTAAATTAATGGAATAAAATTTCATAAAACCTAAAAAAAAAGAATAAGTTAGTCAAAAACACTAGAACAATTCATAAATTTTCAATTTTTAAGTTATATTAGTAATTTGTATGAAATAAATAAACAAATCTACCAAAAAATAAAAGATACATTATAATTAAAAAAAATTTGTATTAGTAATCTAAAAGAAGATGAATGAATAATTGAAATTGATAGAGAGTATAAAAATTAAATGAACAAAATTGGTATTTAAACTTTATTTTCTTGTTATTAAAATTAGCCTTATAATTGAAATGTGCAACATATTGAAAGAATATTTTCTATGAGCAATCAACTCCATAACTGAAATTTAATATGTAGAATGCCATGCTGATTGTTATAATTGTAAAGGACCTTATGAAATGATTGTATCGTCGATATAAATTTACAAATATTGTGCAGAACGTGAAGATCCAACATCTATTATAAATATATTGAAAATGGATAATGTTTTTGCTTAAAAGAACAATTTAGTAAAGTAAGACATACAGAAATAGTATTTGCAATGCGTAATAATGTTAGTCATTTAATTAACCTGTCATCCTATATGCTTAAAATGTTATCAGCCCAAGGATAATACAACAAATCAATATTGTACTATGTGCATTGCAGGATAACGTAGAGTTTTAACTAATGATTACAGATGTGTTTGTTAAGATGGATATGGAAGTGATGGAATCTCAGATATTTGCAGAAATACTTCTCTAAAAGTAAGTATGAAGTGTCACTATTCTTATTTGAGTTATAAAGGACCTTTCGAGACTGATTGTGAGTAATGTTCCTCTGCTTCTTAGAGATATTTGACAATAAATAATAAATGTGTCTGCAATTGAGCTTACTATTAGAACCTATATTGTTTTTGTAATCTCTAATTAAACATCAATTAGTATCTTGCCGTCATGCTTCAACGATCCAAACTTTTATAGTGACCCATTCTTTTTAGAATGCTAGCAATTTCATCTAACATGCAAAAATTGTAATAGCATTAATGAAATTAATTGTCTTACTTGCGACACTACTTATAGAGAGTGATTATTTCAAAATGTATACAGCACAGTCATTCTATAGTGCTCTTGTGATTATTAACACATATATAAGAATACCATTATAATTATTTGACATGTCTTTCTTCATATGAAGATGGTTGTATAAATTGCACTTTAACAAAAAATTAGAGTAATAAAACCAAACAAATTTGTCAGCATGAAAAACACATTAGTAACATCAAACAACAATTAAATAAGTTTAAGTAAATTTTCCATTTAATTTATATTGCTCATATCTTAGTTCATCATGTACTATAGAAATTAGTAATTACTCAGCATGTCCTGATTAATCGTAATGTGATTTAAGGACAAATAATTCTTTAATATAACCTAAGAGTGTCATAGTAAAGTTGTGAAAATTAATATCAAACATACTTGTTAAATTTCTCAAGGGTCCTAAATTAATTAATGTACTTTTTTTAATCCTTTAAGTAAAAGGGAACTAAACTACAATGAAGAATGCATTTGTACGAATAAATACTTTGATACAGGAGTATAAGAATGTTAAAGTATATAGTAATAAAAGCTTGCAGCGTTTATTGTTTAGAATAACACTACCACTCCTACAAATTGCATAACTTGTGATCCAGAAATCTATTTATACGAAAACACTTGTTTATGCAAACTTGATTAAATGCAACTGTTAAATGTTTATTTCGAAGATATGAACACATGCGCCTGATAGGAAATATCCATCATTAACATGTATTTTCATCTGTTATTTATGTTACAATAGGCATCAATAGACCAACCATTATTTAATGTAGATAGTAGTTTAAAATGATAAGTACATTAAAGTACTTGTGAAAGGAGCGGTTGTGCACAGAATGAACGATGAATCACTAGACAATCCTCAGAGTTTTCAAGATAAAGGAAAGATAAAATGCAAGCAGCATGACTTTTTAAGGCATAGTTGCATCATTATTGTGGCTAAAGCAAAAAAAATTACAAGAAATTTCGGTAGGCTTGAATCCCTGTATATCCCTAATCAACAATCCTAATATATGAACCAGCATTTTCACTTGTTTTTATATTGACATCATTGCCATTTATTAGAAACTAGTATTAGTGTATGCAAATTTGAGAATGATTAAGCAAATTAATTAAAATGTTCAATTATTGTTAAAGCAAACGTTGTAACAGGAATGGTTATTAGTTTATAGGTAGAATGTGTTTTATAAATGGAACAAGTGTTGTATTGAATGTAATAAACAACTTTTAGATAACAACAAGCTAAATCCCTGACTTATGATAGCACTAGCAATGCATAAATGAAAAAATTAATTGCAGAAGCAGGTACTGATGAACACTTGGGTGAAATAAAAAATAAGTTAAGCAAAACATATTTGGTATAAGATACACAAGTTGCCTATCCTGAGCAAATAATTCTTTGAGATACTTATAATTTTTTGAATAAATTAGCAATCAGTTCAAATAGAAATATATCGAAATTAAGAGCATAAAATGACATCTCCGATTATAAGAATACCAAAACTTTACTCCAGTAGTGCACAATAAGTAAGATAGTCAAATATCTCAATCCATTTCTAGAATTTGCGGATATTTGACATAGAGTAAATTTTTGTGCTTCAGAATGATTTAATAAACTAATCTAAACAAAATCAAAGTTATTCTTAGAGAATAAAATAATAATGTCACAAAATTATATTCATTCTTAAGGAAATACTTAAGAAATTGTATTAATAATAGCAATTTCAAATAAAAATAGTATAGCGATGCATTAGGTAAATATAGCAATTCAATATTTTTGCAACTTAATAATCAACCAGCCTATACAGTAAAAAATTAAGCTAAAAGATGAATAAAATTAGAAGCTCCACAAGTTAAACAATAACGAGGACACTTTGTAATTAAAAGTGATCATAAATAAGTAGCTTGTAGTATAAGAAAAGTTAATGGTGCTGTCAGTGCAAGTTAAGTAATCTTCGGGCATAGAGCACAAGTAGCAGGTATGCAGCAGTTAAAATACAGCCATACACAAGGAATATATATCCAATGCAGAGGTAGTGCTCTTATTTTGAACTAAAAGTGGATAATTGGCTCAAAATTAGCTATTATTGTATAAATGTACACAAATTTCATCTTTTGCGTGGAGCAGAGAAGGCCTTAATGACCTTCTATTCACATTTCGTTGTTTTAATTTAGAGTATAGAATCTTTTGTAATGCATCCATCCTCAAGTAAACATCGTGTGCATGAACCAATTCCTTCCAAATCTAGAAATTAATTTACACTGTGCGTAAATGCCATCGTTAAGATAAACTATACAAACAGGTTTACGTGAATAACTTTGAGAATGGCTAGTATTGATGGAGCATCAAAAGGTGCAAGCTAATTATGTTTTTTGATCGAAACGCTTTATGTATTTGGATGAAAAAAAATACAAATAAGAAGTACTAAATTTCTGCAACCTGTAGGTTCAAGGACAAATGAGGTATAAGAATATATAGAACTATTAAGAAAGTAGGCGCGAGAACACTTAAAAAAGTTGTTGTTGATGTCTTACAGGTTGTATAAACAGTAAAATTAACTATCTTAAAGTTAACTTAACTACACTTTGTACAAGTAGATCTGTACAGCTTACATAAGGACATTATAATATGATGGAACTCTTGATACTTTTAGTAACTAATTATTGAACACATTTAGACAAAGTATTACAATTTAAACTTCCTTAGAGGTATAATTATCGTAATTAAGTGCAAACTAAAGTGCATTCAAGAATTAATCATCATTTATTTATGATAATATTTCGTCATTTGTCTTTGGTTACTGCATAAGGCATGATTTTTGAATATTTTGATCTAAATTCTGTAATCATGTGCATCTTAAATAAACGTGTAACCATTTTATCACTGGTTCTGTCCGTTAAAACATGCTCAGTTTACACCATCATTGGCTTTTTTAGCAATTATTGCCAAATATTGGTTTTTTGGATGTAATAATAATAGCTATTAAAGTCTAAAATAATGAATAACTTATTGAGCCTAATATATATATATTAATGCATAGAATTGATTTCATTAATAGTATTATAAAAAGTGTGAAAGATTGTCCAGTTGCAGCTTTGAATTGTGTATCACTTGATGCAATTATTATAATAGATATTACAAGCTTCTTTGTTCAGTCACAGCCTCCTGAAGATGAGGATCAGCTTTGAGCATGAAGATGCTCCATCTTCAAATCTTCCTTTACATTTGTGCTTTATTGACTTTATGGGATAATCAGACTGTTTTGCCTTTGCCTCTTGGTCAAATACTGATTAGTACTCTATGCTGCTAAATCATCATAAAAAAAAGTTGGCAATAGAGTATTCAAATATTTATTATTAACCTTTATGCGATTGCTGAAATAGGCATATAGTATGTATTGAGGATTCTTAATTCAAGAAGATTCTCAAAGTTTAAAATTCATTTACAATTTGGTTTTCATAAAAACTATAGGTCAGGTTCTCTGAATTAAGTAAATGAGGCTGTTTGCTTAAGTGTCTAATAATTTTAGGGCCTTGTTTCTCAACATTTGCCTTTTCCCACATTTGTATTTTGAGAGAGCTACAAAGTAATAGCGTCGCACATAAAATAGAATATTTTGAATTAATAAAGGATTGAATCGGTTTTTAAATGCATCAATATCCTGTGATTTTAGAGATCACTACTTTATTAAACATTATAGGGTTTAATTAAAGTTTACCAATATCCAATGGATTTTTCAAGGAACGGAATTATTTTTTATTGTGTTGTCTCACTTTGTTAAGACAAATTACTTCTTCTCAAATAGTCGTCTTTTCTTGCATCTATTATTAATAATAAGTACTTCTTGGTGAACATATGATGCTGTTCTAATTATAAGAAAATTATTTTGCTCATCAATTAATCTTATTCATAACAAATAGATGGCTAGAATAGACTATGGATTAACCAGACTAAATATAATAGACATTTAAAAGTACTATATTCTTTATCATGCTTGAATATACCTTGAAAGAAGTTTTATTGATTATATATATGTGCGATGTTGAATAATAAATCATTTTGGCCAGCCCTTTGGTAGATCCAAGGCCAAATTGGATGCGCAGGAGTGTTTAAAAATGTCCTAAGAGTTGAAGTTCGCTTCACAAAGGGGGCAGGTCATGATGTCATCTAGACTGATCCTCAGTAATCCATCCCATAGTTCCTCAGTCAAGCAAGCATACCATCTTATCAGTATCCAATGCCAGGTTGTTCTCCATGAGTTATCTTCAATCCTAAACCAAAATAATTTCCCTTTCTAATCTATCTCCAATCTCACTACTACTATTAAAGGCTAAAGTTAGCCATTGAAGAATATCTATATCTCGGATCCTTCATACAACCAATCAACACTTGAAGGTAAGCCTCTAACTATGTCACTCTTAATAGTAGTAAGACATAAGAAATATATATATCATTAGAGAAATTAATGATGGCAATTACAAAATTGAAGATTAATTAAATTGTGATACCTACTTTATTTATGGAAATATCACAAATAATGGGCAATATTTGGTGTATTGGAATGGCAACAATTATACATATTCAATTTATGAATTATTATATAAATGAATGATTATGAAGTTTTACATCAATTATGTTATTTTTTTCAGAAGAACAATAAAAAATATCATTTTTTCATTATAAAATTTCTTCATTTATTAATATTTTCTCAAATAACACATAATTTTTACATATGAAATGATTATACTCAAATATTCCTTTAAATCCTTTCCTTAAGTAGAGGTGAAATTTTAAAAAGTCATATCCCATTCTAGAATTAAGAAAATTAAACTAATCATTGTTAATTTTAAGAATATTTCTAATATTGATTATTATTTATCATAGGGAAAATTTTAATATCAAATAATCGAAGGTTAAGGATTAATCCTCCCCATTATAATCACTGAATGCTCTTATGGAGGTCCATCAATTAACAAAAAGTCGTTAAGTACCCATTTTTCAAACATTCTGGTTAATCTAACTCATTTGGCATTTTAATAATAGCTTACATTAACTTAAAACAGAATTGTCTGCTTTAGAGCAAAAATTTAATTTCTAAATAGATTCACTCGATTGTAACATTTCCCAATAAAGAATCAAAGACTTCTTTATTTCCAAAAACAAAAAGCAATATAATTAAAGTCTTGGAAGAATCTTTTGGGCTTTAGAATTGTATCTCTGTCATTAATTAGAAAGCTCAAGATAATAATGATAATTTATTCATAGAAATTATGGATAATGGATACTTTTAACCAAAAATGGTTATATATTGCAAAGAAATTTAATCTGCATATCGTTATTTACAAATCTAAAAAAAATATTTTAAATATGGGCAAAGAAGTGAATAACTTCTATTCTTTTATTAAAAATAATTCATAAACATTTAATT